AATTTACTGTCGATGATTGATTGTCACTTTGATGCTTTTCTTTTTGCGGCTATGTGCGAATTAAAAGCTTTTCTAGGGAGAATTCAGGAAAAATGTCAACAGAGCATAAAAAGTTTGACTTTATAGACTTCAGACTAAATACAGAAATGGGGCATTCTGGGCAAAGTAGGGAATTACGAATACCCTGTAAAATTACTTTTGCAACATACGTGCGCGAATTATGGTGACATAGGTTTTACTACAGCCAATTCAACTCGTTTGCAGATGACACCTGAAATTTTCCAACTTTTTTTTTTTTTCCTGTTTGTAGGCAGACAGATGAATGGCCAGGCTTCTGAACGTCCACAGGGATCTCCCACTACCACAGGATGTAGGTAGTAAAGTTGCCATGGTAACGGGAGATTATCTGTACTACCACTATGGCTGTGATGGCATTGATGACAGGGTTTGTACACTTTATAAATTGAAGTCTATTTGGATGCTTTGAGCGTTACTGTTTTTTTTCAAAATTGGGGTTCAGAATCAGAGCCAATGCATTTAGAGCCAAGGTGCCACACACATTACATGTATGTTCATGTCAGTGAAGTATAGTCAATGGTCATCAACAACCAACTGCTGAAGCAGGTTTGAAATTCCAGACTCGGCTGCTTTGGACCTTTGAAATTTTTGCTTTTCCTTGCTTGGGTAGGAGGATAAAGATGTGCTGTGTTTTTGTTTTGGAACCCTTGAGGATTCAATCTTGGTCACGTGATCATATTGCACATGGCAGCTGTACGTTAGACAGTCAGTGAACTCTCTTTGTCCTGTTTGTTACAGGGTTGGGGATGTGGGTACCGGACCCTACAGACACTTTGTTCATGGGTGAGATTCCGCAAACTGAAGCTCAACCAAGACAGCCGACAGACGGAACCGAGTTTGCGTGAGGTTCAGGAAGCCCTTGTTGCCATGGGTGACAAGAAGCCATCCCTGATTGGCTCTAAGGAGTGGATCGGCTCATACGAAGTCTGCATCTGCATTGACCATTTTTATGATGTACGTTTGTTCTGGTCTCAAGTTTAGTCACAGACGACGTGATGCATCATTTCATTATTACACCCTGTCCTTTTGTGACTTGATGTGTGTTGACTTCATTTTGACTCGGTGCAAAATAATACTAGTGTGGTAGATCTGTATGTAACGCTGCAGAAATTAAGATTGAGTAACGACACAAAAATATAATTGTGGTGGTGTATCCTGCTTGTGGATTTGAACAGCAAAGTTGCAGTGGACTGTAGTTGAAGTGAGACCCAGCCATGCCTTTACGGTAACAAGAAGCAAGCTGTCAAATTAGCAGCGCAAAAACTGTAAAGAGCTGAAAGGCAAATTGCTGGTAAAAAAGCATTGTTTCCACTGTATAAATCTTTTATTATTCGTCTGAGTATATCAATGAGGAAAATTCTACTGGAATTTGTTTTTTCTGGTCTAGGTTCCCTGCAAGATTCTGCACGTCAACAGCGGTACTGAGCTAATTGATAAAATCCCTGATTTGTTACAACACTTTCAAGAAGTAGGATCCCCCGTTATGATGGGTAAGCTTTCATCTTATCTTATGAAATTTGACAAATAATTTGGTTTTGCAGGGGGACACGTCACTTTAAACAAACCTTATAAAATTTCCCCTACCCAAATCGCTCCCTTCCTATCTCATGCCTCAGACTTTTTCACCTGTGTTTAAGGGTAGCTGCAATCAACGTTTTTTACTACAAACCTGTAAAATGCACCTTTGTACCTCAGTAAACCTTATTTTAAACTTTGGTTTCACTATTTGAAAGGGTATTTTAATGCCTTTTTGGTTTTTATGCTAATGAGATTTCCATATTCATGAGCAAAAGTGTGATGTCATCTTAGGAAGAAGCCTCAGTGTTACATTGGTTCGCACACAAAAAAGTCCTGCGTTTTTGTAGATTTTCTTGGACTGAGTTTTCTCTTTGCTGATTCATTGTTGTTTTGTGCATAGCAATAAGAAACCATCAAACCCTCTCTCAGAAATGCCAGTTAGTTTTCACAGTTTGAACAGAAATGCCTATGCACTGAGCCATGTCTTCCCTCGATGACTTCGCTGCAACAGCGCCCTCAATTTTCCTGGAAAACATGGATAATTTTGATTCTTTAAAATTGTGCACTTTCCAATGCATTTAACCAAATAGGAGTGTGGAAGAGTTTTCGTACATTTAAGAAAGTATAAAGATGCAGAAAAATTGTGTCGAAGAAAAATGACACTTTAAGTTTGAAGAGAAGCATGTAGGAATGAACGCCCAATCAGAAGCCTTTTTATATAGGGTGTGATGTCATCGTTTATGTAGAAAGAAAATAGTTTCTTTGATGTTTAGTACAGTCATTTGCAAAAGTTTAAGACCACCTGGAATTTTGTCGGTATTTCTGTCAATGGCCTCTGTTATGCTGTTTCACTGAATGATTACATAAGCTTTTTTTTTTACAGTGGTGATAACCTCAGAGTCGTGCTGTGAGCCCATTTACTTGAATTATGTTGCAAAGGCGGGTCTTGAATGTTGGCGCAAGGCAGCATGGGTAAACAAAGCCAGTCTAATTAATCAGAAACAAAGGAGGGCACACTAAATATTAGACTCTTAACATTTCAAATCTTGGAAATGTCAAGATACTAATGTTGCACATTGAAAATAAACATAAGTTGCCAGGATTGATTGGTTTAAGTTTGGTTTTTCTTCAGGTTAATACGTTTTGTATGGGTGGTCCTAAACTTTTGCAAATGATTGTAGGGGATAATTGATTGTAGCCAACTTTTTCCAAAACAACAACAGCTTGGAAGGTCATTTAAGAGGAAACAAGTATCTTCTCCCTTTGACAAGTAAAAACCATCTTCCTGAATTGCAGCAATTTATTAAAATTTTTTCGAATGTTTTAATCTGAAACTTTTTAATAATGTCATGAATTGTCATTGATTGAAATTTTCACTCCACAGGTGGTGACACTGATGCATCCTCCAAAGGCATTGTAGGTATCTGCATCGGCCAGCAACAAACCTGTCTATTAGTTCTGGTGAGTCTTGAGTCGAAGGACTGATCTGTACATGAGGTTGAGCCTACCCTACCAAGCTTTATATAAACCCCCCACCTAAAATCTGTGCTTATCTTGTGGCTTTCTGCCTAACTGTGAAAAATGCACTGAAACCCAAATTAATTTCCAAACCTCAATTCATGCATTATTGATAATTTAGATTGGAGCTTTCAATTTCTTGACATTTTTCTCAATTTACTCCTGAATTTTCTGCAACTTTCCATTTCAGGATCCACATTTCTATGGGGACCCAACTTTTGACACTCTCACAAGTTCATCCTATTTATTGTGGAAACCACTCGACTCGTTCATGGAGAACTCCTTCTACAACCTATGCCTACCGATAGTAAAGAAAGCTAGGTGACCAGATGTCCTTTTCATCACCACGGCTTGCTGTGTTACCAACTTTGAAGGTATATTACCAACTTGTCGGGTTTAAGGGTGAAAAGTAGGGGCTAAAATTTTAGGAAGGCATCATGTGTTGTTTCTTGCTGAATCTTTCTTGAAGGCATAAACATGGGATTGTAGTAATTGTGCACCAGAACATCGTTGATGCAGTAAAACTCTTTCATTAGTGGAATTTGATGCATGAAATTAAACATGTGTGAAAATCAGTTCTCTCTTTCTCTGAATACTCATTAAGATGAAATCTGTTTTAGCATTCCATGCAGCCCGATTGTTAGTTTGAATTTGTCAAACCAAAGTTGTTCCTTTTCTTTGCTTCTTTACTGAGTAACTTGTAGTTAGCTGTGATTACTCAAACCTATAAACTGAAAGTGATTCCAGATACCGACGGCTGACATTCATGGACCTGATGTGCAACTACGCCTCGTCATATATTCAGATTTTGTCCAATTGCAGCGGTAATTATGGAATGATCTCAGGTTTAAGCATCTAGCCACATCCTCACTTACTCACAGCATGATCTAGCGTTTTTTCAACAGAGTATCCAAACATCTCATAGTCCCTTTTGTAGAGCTTTGAAAGGCCGTCCAGTATCCTTAGTGGTAGAACAGCAAGCTCATCTTTGAGAGAGCGACCAGCAGCGGACGGTTGAAAGCGGGGGAAACTGACCAGATGGTCAGCCGAGATCCAGCGAAGAAAGTAGGGGCCTTCCACGACTAGGTTCTCAAAGTGACCAATGAATTGGTAATTGATGTGACAAGGGTGGCAGATCTCATTCTGGGGCACAAAGTGGTTGGTGATGGTGTCAATTTCGCAGCTGGGGCCGTAATCTGTCACAAATTGCGCAAACTCCATGAAGGTGATGTTGAGCCATTTGGACGATTGCGGGGGGGATTTGCGGTACCGCTTGACAATCTTTTGGCCAAAATACTTCTCCCATCTCTCCTGGTCCTTGGGATCATCGCGGAATTTACTCATCCAGGCAGACAGCAAGCGGTTTATAGGTTCCCGGACAAACACGGCCTTCTTGTACGTTTCAAGCCTCATATCTCTCTCCTCAGTCGAGTACTTGTCCAGGGTGGTGAATAGTTTGGAAGCGTTTGCTCTAACCATCAAGTCACCAAGGACCTGCTTCCAGGATGAGGAAGACACCTTGGGGATGAAACTGAAGAGTAGCTTGTATGGATCGAGGACTAAGACATTGTCAAAGAAAGAGGCAGTATAGTGCTTTGCTTTGCGTTTGAAATGGAGTCTCTTGCAAGTACTGTCCAAGATTTCTCTCCGTCTTTTCATCTCTCGTTCTAGGCTTCTGTCAAGGACGCTTTGCGGCCTGCTTTGCTGAGTGTTAAAATCTTCAGAAGTCATGTGGTATGTCTTGTTTTGGTCCAAGAGCAGCTCCTTCTGAGAATCTGTGTCTCTGCTGAGGGGGCCTGTGATGACACAGTAAAAAAGGAAATTGACAATTTTCAGTGCAGTTTATCTGTTAAATGACTAAGACTGATTTGACAAGGATTGTTTCTGTCTTCCTAGGTTTGTGTGTTTGGAATAAATGCATAAAGTTTTGATTTTGTTATTGTTTTATTTGGTGAAGATAATTGTACTTAAAAAATAACTGAATTATTGATGTGCTGACAAATATAAAGCCCAAGCAAAAGGAACATAAATAGAAGAGGTTATCACAACTTTATAACATTTTGTATCTCACGCAGAAATCTTTTGTAAACAAATTTAATTATATATGTACATAGTAACAATGTTGTTCCAAATAAAAAAGTAACTATTTTTTCAGATCAATTAAATTGGTTCAATCTTTCAAAGGTTTCGATATTGAAATACATTGAATACCAGTGTTTTTTGCCTATAAAGCGTAAATTGTCCAATTAAGATTTTAATATGGTATCCAGGAAGGTGTTTTTTTCTGATCAAGATATGTTGATTGGTGTCTTACGTTGTAAACTATGTTGACAGTATCTCAGGAGGCACCATCTGAGATTGAGCAAAACCAGCAACACAACTGTAAAGATGAAAAATGTCAGTGATGTGGTCCTGACAAAGTACCTCAGGCAAGGGAAACCCATAATCAGTGAAGTTCAGACCTGAAATGAATAATTAATAATACATTACATCCTCTCCAAGAGGAACAGTCCTTTGGTGCAAACTCACCGCAAATGTGCGCAAGTTTATGCTGAGTATTTTCTACGAATTTAGTCTAGAATGTCTCTTCACCAAACGCATACAAGAACCCGTTTGGACAACTTTGTACCAGCCTGTCTTTCTTTCGCCGTCAAGGGTGCACTTCAACTCAGGGCAGATAGTTTGATTATATCTTTCCCCTCAAATCTCATTTAAGTGAAAGTTGGTATTTTGTACAAAATTATTTTGCGGCTGTCACAGAAAGGCATTTATGTGAGATATACTTAAGTACTGTTCTGAAGCCATTTTGAGTATATCTGTCTCTTGTACTTGCCTTGCTGATTAAATTTTACTCGACATTCATATTTTAAAAATGAAATACGTGACAATTCAATATGCATCATAGTTAAAAGGTTGAGTGAAAAGAAATAAGTAAACTGGACCAGAGAAATGGCTGCATTCAAATTGTCACAGGCTTCTCAGCCAATATTTGGCTTTCTATGCTGCATTTTAATTTTTTCAATATTTTAACAATTCATTTTTTTTCTTATTGTATCACTCCTGTTGTAGGTCATTCAGCAGTGCCTAAGGGAGAAATATCCCAGTGTCTGAATATCTGTGCTCACCAGCAATTAACAGGCAATGATGAACTGCCCTCAGGATGAGATGGTAATGCCTCCACAGCAGGTTGTCCTGTTGAGTTTACAGGAAGGAATGACAAAACTTTCTCAGTAAATTCTCAGGAAGTTTTCCTTCACATCAACTTGTCATGTCAATCTCCAAAGAATAGGAATCTATTTTGAAGTGCCGTCTCCCGGTTGTCGGAATTTACCAGGAAAGGGTCAAAGATCCCTCTCACAGCATCCAGACAGGACGCAAATGTACAATATTTTGATGCAGTTGATCAAGTGCATTTCACTGCAGTGCAGTCCAGTGGCTTGTATATGAGACTGATCAATAGCCACACTCTGTGCATTATTTCTAATTCTGATTGTTACTACGCCCTGCACCTGTTCCTGAAACAATGGCCATCACCTTTATAATAGACGTTACTGGAAAAGTGACACATGTTGAACCATAGAGCCAGGAAAGAAACTCAATGGGTCTATTACAATGGCACATGCACTCTGGATATATATGAATGTGTCAAGGTTGTTGGTATACAAATGTTCACCTTGTATATTTGTGTTGTGGTAAAAATGTATTGAACAATTGACAGTTTTATTCTTAGACCCATGTACTGTAAACCGTTTGCAGTTCATTTGAATTGGAACTGTATTTAATCATGGTAGGCTTCCCATGTAACTTTGTGGTCAGTATGTGCATTGAATAAACACTAGTGAGACATTATTTTTTCGTTTGTTTTTAACCAAAGCACCTTCAAGTTGTCAATTTTAAAGAAAACTTATCAGCAGAAACTATTTTTAAACAAATATAGAAGGGTAAGCCTTGGAAACCTTATCAAATTGTGGCCAAAATTTGACTTTCCTCCAAATTACTCTGAAACAAGTTTTGAATGATAAAAGTATTTCATCCTTTTTGAGGCATCTACATCTGAATTTTAAGGAAAATTGAAAATGAAAACAGTAAAAAAAGTTACAAGGGTAACACCTTGAAATTTTGCAAAAGCCTTGCAAAACAATTCAATTACGGGCAAAATCTAATGTTTCTCCAAATTACCCAGAAAGAACTTTTGAATGAAGAGCAATGTACATTCTTTTTATGGCATGTGGATCTCAGTTTTATTGAAAAATCAAATTGCCAAAATTTGAAAAAATTACAAGGGGTTAGCCTTGCAAAATAATGAAATTTTGGCCAAAATTTAATCTTTATCCAGATTACCCAGAAACAAATTTTCAAAGAAAGGAAATGTATTTTCGGCCTTTTTAAAGTATCTATATCTGGATTTTCGTGAAAACTCAGAATAGAAAAATTTGAAAAACTTACAAAGGGTTAGCCTTGCAAAATGATTAAATTTTTGGTCAAAATTTAATGTTTCTCACAATTACTCAGAAGTTTGAATGACAATAAAGGTGTTTATTTATTTGAAAGTATCTTGATCTCGATTTTATTGAAAATTCAAAATGGAAGAATTTGAAAAAATAATCAGGGGGTAGCCTTGCAAAATAGTTACATTTTGGCCAAAATTTAATGCTTCTCCAAAGTACTCAGAAGGACGCTTTGAACGAAAAAGAAATGTATTTTCGGTCATTTTAAAGTATCTACATCTTGATTTTCATGAAAATTCAAAAT